CAAGGCAAATTCACCCGGCGCGATCTATAGGCCTAACCACGAAAATCACACCTTCGTGTAATCTGCCCCACGTCCACGCTGACACATTCGACTAGCACATCAGAGAGGGCAGTCTGCAAACACATAACTGCAACATGAACACTGAGCTTGCCGTCAACGTCAGTAACAAAACAACTTTTGACCATAGAGGGTGAGTCATTCAAATGGTTCGTGACATTGCCACAAGTGCGATGCCCAATGTGCCACAATCTATGTGAGTCATGCTCCGAACTTCTTAACGGGGGCATTCCGCGCCGTAACTGTTGCAAGATTTTCCATGCGAGATGCCTCCGAGTTAAATCTAGTCAGGCCAAGTTATTAAACAAACCAGATTCTCTATGGTTCTGCGTGGAATGCATATCTATCCCACTGATAAAAAGCGTGCTCCTATTATCTCAGAAGTAGGACCAGCTACTAGCCAAGTTTGAGGAAATGGTGGCCACCAAAATCACTACGGTTGGGGGAAGCATAGCGGACTGTGCAACCTAAGCTTCCCCAGTGATTGTTGCTCCTATCCCGAGGAGAACGGCTAGTAACACCGTAGGCAAAATGACACCAAGAGCCCAGAAAATCCACTGCTGTTCCAATACTACTCGTGGATCACATTTGACGGATGCGGTTCCCAGTTCGATCAAATAACTACAGGTAAGGCTACTTCCAATCTCCCGACGGAGTGTGTAGAAAAAGAGCAAGCCGGTACTAGCGAAAGTTGGGTTAAGGTTCCTTCCAAAAAGAGCTGTCATTTAAAAATAACAGCACCCCCAACAGAATCGGAAACCGAGGAGCGTAGCGTTCTTCTGGTGCAAGCACCACCGGTTTCCTGCGGTACATCACCGAGTATTTCAATCACTAACCGCGACATATCGAAAGGTGTAAAGAAACAACTACCTGTACTGAGCGTAATGTGTTACAATATCCCAGAATCAAAGTCCACATCAATAAGAGGAAGGCAGTTGCATGACATCAACCAGTGGGACATTACTAGTAACCTACTTGGAATTGTAATGAAACCTGTACATATACTGCGCATTAAGAGGCGCCCCAACTCTAAGCATTACGTGGAGCCAAGACTTCTGCGCGTTGCGTTGAACTCCATCACTGAAGTAGAAGCAATTCTACTGTCAACAGGTAGATTCAGAAATGTACATTGCTCCATCCGTATCTTCCTAGACATCCCATGGGGCGAGTATTATCGAGTTAAGCGCACCTTAGAGGACTACCGGAAGGAAACTTCAACCAGAACCATTCTTCTTCACGGGGTTCTTGAAACTGAAGCATGTGATGAGCATGAACTAATAAACCATGATAAAGAATGATGATGTTATATTCGTGAAACACTGCTTGGATGATGTGCTAGCAAAATCCGTGTCACGACTGTGTACTTCACCGAACTACAAAGGAAGTGGCCCGAGAGTGTTGAAGGTGGTCCTACAATCAAAGAATATGGTAGCGCGGCTGCTGAAAAGCTGGTACATATTTATTTTCAGGCTACCATCTGAGCTTCTGCTGAAGAGTCAGCGATATATCTCCTAGAGGTGATACGTTAACTCTAATGAGCCCATAAAATTTGTAGATATTGACCAGACACCTTGCACTGTACATCGAAGATTAGACACGGGACTAACCACGCAGACGATGAATAAGACGTTAAACCTTTCTCCAAATACAAACCGAAAAAACAACTAGTCGCCGGCCACTCACTGGTCGGCGAAACTTGACGTATGAGTTGCACAACTTACAAAACATTGCTTAAATTTGAGGAACTTTCGTGTATGTACACTAACGCCCAAGAGCTCCACAGTAAATTTAGCGGACTTTGGCTACGTCAGGTTGCGAATTCTTGGTACCTAATTTCCATTACCGAAATTTGGTTGCACTAAGAGGTGACCGATGCTGAGGTTGTGATATCAGGAATGTCGCTCATTCGGAACGACCGCCCCAGCAGAGGAGGTGGGGTCTTTCACTACTATCGCAGCGACCTGCAATAGTTGATGACCTGGAAACTCACGTTACCGACTCACTCTGTTGCCGTCTTCGACTAAGATACAATGAGGTGTCTCGTTTACCGCCCCCCAACGTCCACTCCGGAAATGGATTCCCGCTTGATACGTATCCTGAACAGAGTAACACGCACTAGGTACAGCCACATTCTCATCTCCGGGGACGATCTGGAGGTATCGGCATCACATAGTGAACAGTTCAAAGCAGACTTGCATGAATTTATCGCTAATATTACATTGTACAATCATGTCACCACGCCCACTAAATTCAGGACAGCAAACAAGCCGCCCATATTGGATCTTGTGCTCACAAATGAAAAGCTCATGGTTGACAAGTTATTGGTGGATAGTCCATTAGATCTCAGTGACCATGTAGTAATAAGGTTTAACTATGTGTGTTATGCAGAGTATCCATCTGAACACTCGGAACTAACTCATACAATTACACGCTACCACGTATTGCAAGAACTCACCGACGCAGCTGCTTGGGAATTCTCAAATAAAAGTCCCCTTGACAAGAGTTCGTTAGTAGATTCAGCGACATCGTCAACAGAGCATCAGAGACCAAGCCCCTTCGTCCCGCAAAAATGTCTTCAATTATAAGGAGCAGCACTCGAAAATGCGTGGCGATGAGTCGCAACATGGCGTGCCTACAAGGTTAACCCCGACTCAGACTTGGGGCAATTTCCTGATCCATCGCAACCGTTGCACTGCATTTGTCCGTGAGGTAATAAATAATAAGTAATGTGTCAGCAGTACGCCGTAACGGCGCTTCGCTACCGCGCGACCACTACCAGTCGCGCGGGGCTGAGTATACCGCGAGGACGCACACCCCCACGCGGATTCGAACCGGTGACCTTATGGCTGCAAAGCAAACGTGCAGACCACTCGGCCACCGGCCGTGAGGACAAAGTAACTTATCAACAGTGCCTAGCCAAAAGATTCATGGCAAACAACAAACTGCTATATAGGCATGTCAATAAGCTTCGTAAAGTAAAGCATGGCATCCCTCCACTTTTCACGACAGGCGGTAGAGTACAGAGCGCCGAAGAAGCAGCTAATGTCCTGCGGCTACAATACGCCCCAATTTTCGAAATGGCAGCCTTTGCCTGTCCCATAATGTCATGCACATTACCGACTCCATTGTTTACACATGTGTTTTTTCAACCCATCAATTGTGCTAAGGAAGTTACTCTCATAGCTGTCCGGGAGCCGACAACATCCGACCGAAAGCACGGAAGGCTGCGGCCACCAACTTAGCTGAACGACTGTCACAGTTCTTCCAAAGGTGCTTCAATGAACAGCGAGTCCCCACTATGTGGAAGCGTGGCATTATCACCCTAAGTTTTAAAGGCGATAGCCGTTTAGAGCCTGCAGACCATCGCTCAGTGACTCTCCTTTCTGTGCTCGAGGTGATGGAAGCGGTCATCGCTGAGGCTCTAATGGACTACCTAGAAAAATGCAACATTTTGGCACCGGAGCAGCATGACTTCCGTCAACACCGGTCATGCACCATCAATCTGCTGATTGCAAGAGGTAGTTGGACAGAAGTGGCTGATGATGGGGTCGGAGTTGAGGTCATCTATATGGACTTCTCCAAAGTTTTCAACCACCTGGATCACCGCATCCTACTTCACAGGCTACAGTGATACGGAATCGGAGATCCTGTTCTTCGCTGGATTGACAACTTCCTAGGGGATCACTCTCTAACCCGATTGAGGTGGACTGTGGTGTCCCACTGGGCTCGGTGCTGGGACCGCGCTTATTCCTGGTGTTTATCAACGACCTGGCAAAAGTTATCTCCTCAAATTTCCTGCTTTTCGCCGATGATGTCAAGATATGGCGGGTGATTAGTAACGATGTAGATCACAGTCTACTCCAACATGACCTAGATTGCATTTATGGATGGTCAACGAGGAACCTACTTCAGTTGAACATAGCTAAGTGCAAGGTTATCCATCTGCGTCACCAGCCGGTGAGCGTTTGCAAGTTTGGAGGCCACACCTTGCAGTAGACCTCACAGGAGCGTGACCTGAGTGTACTGGTAAAGGAAGATCTCGTGGGTTCGAAATAAGCAGAGGCGTCGAGAACCGGCAGTCAACACTTCGGCCTTCTCCGCAGAGCGTTCGGTCGGTTTGAACCCACAATCTTCCCACAAATGCTTAACGTCTACGTGCGACCGCACGTGAAATATGCTGCCAAGGCGTGGCAGAAACAGGATCTCGTTGCTCTCGAGACTCCTCAACAAATGGCAACCAAGAACGTCAGGGGTCTCTTTCATCTGCCCTATCAGCTTAGACTGAAATCTCTAAGAATATACAGCAACCGATATCAACGGTTTACCAGATTCTGAAGAACCCAAATCACATTTGCTGTCCGCTGCTGGAATTCAACCACAACACTAACCTAAGAGGTCATCTGAAACTGACAATACAGTATAGTCGGCTTGAATGCCGTAGAAATTTCTTTTCCCTCCGCCTGTGCCAGCCTTGGAACGCCCTCTCTTGTTATGTCGTCTCTGCTCCCAATCTGGCAATATTTAAAAAACGAGTTGGCGATGCGTTGTCTCATTTGTACTTCATTTTATAACTTGTTAGCCAGGGGGTTACAAAACGCAATTAAACGGCGCCTACTCAAACACGCCAACATCTCCGCTGTTCTACTTAAGTCCATAGTGAGTTTACCAAAGCGCTTTTCACTTTGTTATGCAATTTTACTTTTGCAATAATTTCTATCCCAGGGGACTTTTTAAACACTGTTTTTTATCCGTAATACACCATTGTTCCATAATGACCATGACATTAAACAATACTTAATTGGAACCACTAGACAGCGACGGCGTAGTAAACATGAACCCTATCTGAGCTCCAAACTAAGCATGCGAGTTCCCACAGGGAACGGACATAATACCACACGCAAATGCTAGCAAGATGTGTCACGACGTGCAAAAAATGTCAAAAATGAGACACAGAATAGCTTTATTCACAAAAATAGAACGCGAATGCCGTATAAACTATCGATGGGAATTGACAATTTCTTTGTCAATCTCGTCTACAACCTGTTTCAAGTTATCCCATTGTTCCACGTTCAGCGAGATACCTGAAATTCGAAAAGATGCGTTTGTCTTTGAACGTTAATAACTCGAAACCGATGAACAGAGTTACGTCAAAAGATCACAATTAGTAGAAAAGTGGCCCGGCTTTCTAAGAATAAACTTCTGTTCACAGAAGTGAGGAATTTTAGCTTCCGCTTGAGTGAGAGCTGATAAGTGCAGCTCGTATCGAGTGCCTCGATTCATCGCGACGCGCAACGATCAATCAGAACAGTGAAGTATCGCTAACTAAAGAAGTGGTCTGGCCTGATGGGACAGCTGTTAAGTTAGCCAAGGGTCTTCAGCTCGGAAAGTAACCAGGCTAGTGCACAGTAGTTCAAGAATTTCTTTCGATTTGGAATGTGTGCCTTCATGCGAATTCGCAAAAGCTCGTTCATCTGGCTTCGGAGAAGCACTATGCATTGCAACACTTACAAAAATAGTAGAGAGATGCAGCGCATTACAACCTCCAAAAAGAAGGAAAATGAGGTATAAGACAAGTAAGTCTAGCAAATAACTCAATGAAGGGTGGCGTCAATGAAAACACTCCGCAAAAGAACAAAAGGTCAAAGAGCTTTAGATCAACCAATCAATCAACAACAGCTGTACATAAGCCATTTGAACTGATGCCTCGCTGCCATACAACCATGATGACCTATGGAATAAAGCATAATAAAAGAGAAAGAAGGGGGACTTACCTGAAAACCTTAATTCCCTAAGCAAACATTCAGAGTCAAGGCGCCTACACCTTGGGTAGACAACATACCGTCACAAACAGCTGGCTACCGTGCAAAGATAAGGCGGCGTCGGGGAGACAGCTTCCTTGCAGCTGTCGCTGCCTCGCGTCATAACCTGCCATTACCTCGCAGATAACTCAGTACCAAACATACTTTAAACAGGCAATCCGAAAGGAGACGGCAGCAGATGCGCCACTGGTGTCGATTGCGAGCCATGTCCTGTAAAATTTCGAGCCAAGCACAAGGCGAGTCACGTGGACTCCATCCAGGAAGACCAGAGGGACTAATGGCACCTAGTTTGGTCGTCAGTGACTTCATTTCCCGCTGACAAGTCAACTTGTGTCCAACTCGAGCCTTGCGCAACCCTACACCTGGCAGACTAAACAACGCCGTCATAGGTAAGCGGTGGCCAAGCATACGTAGCCTGTGCTCAAGCCAACGCGATTTAACTACTAGGAGTAAGCAAGATTATCACTACCTACTACTCACCTACGCACATCATTGTTGCGGACACGCTGGTGCCATCCGACATCAGCAATGCTTCGCAGCCAAAGGCTTCACGGCGCCTCATATCTTCAGACCGAAGGGGCCAAGTCTCACTACCATAGAGCAGAACGGCCCTCACGGTGGCCTTGTATACACGGCCTTTCAGACGAAGAGAAACTCCCTTCTGTCGCCAAAGATGCAGCAGGTTCAAGAAAGCAGTTCTGCATTTTGTAACGCGTGAACTGACTTCAGTTTCTATGTGCCCATCGTTGCTGATGTAGCTGCCAAGATAAGTGAACTTATCAACCAGCTCGAGTTTCTCGTTAGCAAAGGTCAAGGGGTCATCAAGTGGCTGGTGGTCCAGCAGCAACACCTTGCACTTCGAAGGTGCAAAGCGCGTACCAAATAATGGGACAACTCTAGACAGGGTATTCAGGGTTGATTGTGCCGCCGCAACATCGTCGAAAAACAAGACCATATCATCCGAATAAACAAGACCAACTAACCTTTACCAAGCGAAACCTCGGCGCCTACATCGTGAAATTCCGCAAGGAAACCCTCCATGATAGAATCCACGACGAAATTGAACAAAAACGGGGAAATCGGACAACCCTGACGAACGCCACTTGTGGTCGTAAAACTATCCGATAGGCCACCGTAAACCCTGACGCGGCCTGCAGTGTTCGAGTATAGAGCACGTAGGATGTTCACATATTTCCGCGCAACTATTTCGAACAGAATCGATCGATCGACTGAATCGAACGCACTCTTGAAATTGAGGAACACAGCTATTGTCGGTCTGCGGTATGCGTGGCGCTGCTCTAGCACCTGCCGCAGAGTGAATATATGGTCTATACAGCCACGTCCTGGGCGGAAACCGGCCTGCTCTTCCCTAATCCGAGATTCCCGTTCTGCAGTGAGGCGACGAACGATAATCGCGGCCAGTAATTTTGTCACAACTGGCGTTAGGCTAATACCTCTGTGGTTTGAATAGTCTGTGCGACTGCCCTTCTTGTATATTGCCACTATAATCAATTCAGTCCAGTTAGCCGGGACACTTCTTTCCAGATACGTTCGAATAGGGAGGTCAGTATTTTGCAGAGGACCTCACCTCCATCCTTAAATAGTGCAGGTGGAAGGGAATCCGGGCCAGCGGCACGAAAACGATTGAGGGTTGTGATCGCGTTTCGGACCTCGGCCTCAGACGGAGGCTCTAAACTAACCGTCCATGGCTCGTACGGCTGCAACTGTGTAAGAAAAGGTCCCAAAGCAAGGGGCCAGCTGAACTGATACTGAAAGTGTTCCGCCCAACGAGCCATACGGCGCTCCTTATTGTGTATCAGCGCTGTCTCTGATTGTCTCACTGATGCCTGGTTTCCTGTGACCAAGCCGAGAGAGCTTGCGGTAATTGGCTACTGCTCCTGCCTTCTCCATTTCTTGAGCCCGACTGGTCCACCAGGATTCCTTGTCAGCACGTAGGCTCCGCTTTAGTTCGAGTCTAACAGCCCATCTGGTCACATTGTGCTTAGAGCCAGCCAGGAGGTTTCTTCTGGATTACAACAGGTTCACCGACCTCTCGGATATCCAGTGAGTGGTGCGGTGGGGATTGATAATGCCAAAAGCAGAGGCTCCTGCGTCGTGCATGGCGGGCGAGATCTTATTCCACTGAAGCGCAGTGTCATTAGGACAAGAAAGCAAAAGTTCGGTATGCAGTGCTTCTTGATAGGCTTGCCTGACCGAGTGCTGGGACAATTTCTCCGTTGCCAATCAGAGAAGACGCTTGGTGCGCCTCCCGGTAAGGTTCATGGAGAAACGACAACGTACCAAGGCATGATCAGAGTCGACGCAGGTATTCCAGTGCGAGCGGTAATCCAGGATGGAACCACACCACCTGTAACTTATGGCTATGTGGTCAATTTGGGTCCATCGCTGGCCAGCTACAGGAGGAGGCCAAGTGACACTTCGGCGCCCACTGTGTGCTACTAAGAAACAACTGGTGCTCCGCACACAGTTGCAGCAGACGCTCGCCGTTGTCAGTCCGTTCGGAGTTAAGACCATGGTTACCACCCAGCTGAGATTCTGAAGAGTTCAGATGCCCTACTTGTGCGCTCATACCTTCTGCAAGTACTATAATATCTGAACTAGTAGCACTGTGTAGTAGCGCGTTCAGTTCGTGATAGTGTGCCCTTGACAGCATTAGAACTGCAGTCGGTAGGAGCATAAGCGGAAATCACGAACAAACAGCGCTTTTTACTACTTCGTGAATCAACCATAGCTGATGTCGTCAAACGGGCTGCACATAAACGGCTGTTCACCGTAATCCAATCAACCAACAATGGCTCAGCCTTCGAGCTTAGAATGATACCTACACCAACTTGACCCGTGATTGCTGCATTGGCGTCTTCGGATGCGTGCAACCAATAACGAGAGAATAAACCGGGTGCAGGTAATTCAATAACCCAGTCAGGGTCATTGATCCTAGTTTCGGAAACACAGCACACATCAATACCCAGTGTGTCAAAGGTGCGTGCAAGCGCAGCTTGTTGAATTATTTGTCTTAGAGTGCGAACGTTGAACGCCGCCATGGAAAGGGGACAACGTGGACTTATAAGGGAGTTTTGCCGATAGGCGTCCGATAGGTGTTGTGGGAAGGTGGCTGCAGAGGGTTCTACTCCAGTGGCACTTCAGTTGCTGTCAATTAAGCTGGGAATTATGGAAGGAAGTGGGTCAAGATGGGAGCATGAGAAACACGTGGAAAAGAAGGAAGGGAGGCGCCAGCAGTAGCATGTTTCTGCTTATGCGCCCTGCCGTGTGCAGCAGATAAGGCGATCCTTAATAATCTGCGCGACGGCTGATGTTTGAAAAAGAAGTCATGGTTGTAAGTAAGCTGAAATACTGCCAGGGCGCCCAGACCTAGACAGGAGGACGATTAAGGTTCTCAACCAAAGCCTTTGGCTCAAAGGCCTGTCCGCAAGTCAGCGCGAGGTGGTAAGGATTTCGTTTTATAGAAATGGACGCTATTCCATTTCAAACCCCCAACCTGGAGGACCAGGAGACTGAGTTTGTCTGACCCCTCTTAAGGAGCCCGGAGGCACCACCCAGTATAGCTCAATGGGTCAAAGAGGTACGCAAACCGTCGCACCGCGTTAAGGTTCAGTCTCGTTGCGACGGCTTTATAAGAATTAACCCTAAATAGACGTTCTCACAGAGACTGTCAGCTGAGTTGAACGTATTCCTTTTGAAGTATTTTCGCACAAAGCAGCAAAGTTTAGGGGTCAGAAGTACGCCAAGTCACTTTTGTAGTATAACAATCCCCACAGGGACTTCGGTTGACGCTTGACATGTGTCCATAAGACTGAAATATCGCCTAAATTGGAGTCTCAAGTATGGACGGCTAGGTGAGCGAGTCTGCAGTTCTATAACCAAGGCTGCGGGTGCATACAATACAATGCTGGCGCAGTAGTCACTCGTGCTTCCCCTGACGACCCTGGAAGAGTCATATGATACACCCTGAAGGTGCTCATGCCTGTTGGAAATCATGGCTGGATAAGTTTGTAAGTTCTGAGTTTCATTTCCATGATCACGAAGTTCAACAAGCTACTATATGCATGTCATTTACCTTTACCCGCGAGCTACGAAGAGCTGCACTGACCTTTGAAGCCAAGAAGCGGACAAAGTATACTTTTCCAACTGGCTGCAATAAGGAGCAACATCCTAGGCCAATACAACCATTTGGATGAGCTCGGAAAGCCATAACAGGCATATGAGCTTATAACAATCACACTCCGCGATGGTGTTGTGACCAAAGAATCCGATGAAGGTGATGTGCACCAACAGCTCTTAGGCACTGCAGCACCCGACTTACTACTGAGTAATCCGCAGTATCATTGCGTTTACAAAAGTTTATCGATCAGCAAAGGCCCTTGGTAGTGTTACATTGTGCATTATTCAACGGTAAGTGTTTAATCGTGGTAAATTTTCGTCCCAGGTGAACTGGCGGCATCATTGTGTTGCACCCTTCCAATCAACACTTCGGTGTCAGTTGAAATCCTGTAATCTTGACGTTTGGGGGATGAAGACTACCGCCCGACATTACGTTTGCCAGCCAAATGCTGCGACGAAACTTGACACACACTTAAGAGATACTGCAGTGCTAACACGTAACTAAGTTATCAACCGGTGCTCCAGTCAATCTAGCTAGATGTTATACCTGATGTCCAGCGATGTCTAACGCAGATCGCCAAGCGTGGTGATATTAGCAACCGCAACAAGCAGTGTTGTAAGTCTTTATGTGGCCCCATGCCGGTATGATACGCTGATTTCTGAAACCGTTAGAAAATTTTGTACAAATATTTAATGATCCATTACTAGCGATCCAGTGGTCAGACCTGGCGATTCGTCGGTACCTATAAGAGTGCTAATAAAGTCCCATAGAAAGAACACCAGCGACGAGGTCTTTCGAGGTTGCCTTTCCATGGACAGTGCCAACTCGATAACCACTCCTTAACGGGAGATTTGCTCATATGTCAGACCCTCATTCCAAAAAATGCAAGCACCCCCACATATGTGCTCCAGAGATAGAATCAAAACAATTACTCTGCACACTAACTAGGGACGAGAAACAACCCAGTTATGGCGTTGTAATACAATTAAATCAGGAAGCAAAAACAAAAACCCAGTAATTCTAAACGAATACAGAATGTTGATATGCGTCCCCTGCTGCTCGATTTAGCGGAAGAATTGAATGCCGAAAGTCTCAAAGTGACAAAGCCTCGAGTTTGAATCGGAACTGTTTAACCGCTGGTGTGGGCACATAAGACAAGATGGATTTACGGCCAGACAACCAGAGATTACAGATATGAAAAATAGAATGGGGATAAGGGAGAGACTGACAATACCTGCTCAGCAAGTGAAGTGGAACTGTACCATCTCCGGCATTTAGACAGAAGACTAAACTCGCAAAGTCATGTAGGCGGGCGCATTCGAAACGTCCGACCGTCAGGGATGAAGGAACAATGTGACGTGATATTAGTTCGCAGTCAATCGCCAGCGATAGGTAACCTCAAGATGACCCGGGTACTATATTACTAAATAAAAACATCTGTGACCGTGGTCAAACATGCTGGTACAGACTCTGTGTTACCAATCACCGAGCTGGTAGCCGGTGGTAACAGATCAATTGGCGATAGATTTTCCGCCTCAGTCAGTGTGGGCTTAGAACCAGTAGTATTTCGATTTTGCAAGAAGTAACACCATCTCCAAATAACAGCTATGGTGGTGCGGGGCCTGTGAGAGTACTGACTACTGAATGCTGGCCAATAGCTCAAGAGACAATAGAGGTGTACAAGCGATTATACTACGTTAAAATCAAATATCTACCAAAAAAGACTGTCGAGATAACATATCTGTTAGCAGATTTGGACGCAACACTGGAAAATGGTCAGTGAATAGGGTACAAGTGCAGGCCAGCACAAACGGACAGACAAGTGAGTATTAAAGCAAACTAACCTTTTTTACCAGGCTTTAGATCACCGCTCGATTTATCTTCATAATATTCGCGAATGTCGACGAATGTACGACCCTTGAACTGACGCACACAAACAAACTTCTTTCCCGTAAGATCGATCATTTTATCTCCATCAGCATTGACAGTGTGATTAGCCGAGGTTTGTGCCTTTGTATGTTTCGTGTCACTACTTGGCTTTTTCTTCGGAGGGGACTAAGGAATAAGATGTCACTGTGTAAAATGAACTAACATCTTCAAGGTCAGATAAAGAGTCGGCGGAATCCTCATGTACGTCAGGTCGCTTGGTTTTCCGCGACGACATTGCAAAGGAACTAAAAATGGTGATAAAAAATACAGTAATTGTCGAAACGGCAGAGTAACTGAATATCGAGGAAGAACAAAGTACTAAAGAGACAGCATTCGTATCAAATAGATCATACCTAAAACTGATAGGTATCGATGACCTGAAAGTGTAAAAATGGCAGCATCAGAACTGCATGCCATCGTGACAGCAAACAGTTGAAGAGCAGTTACAACTTCAGTTCCGTTTGTTAACTTCCATCTAAATACTGAGGTGTGGTTGATCTAACCATCTTGACACACGCCGCCAAAGCAACAATCATTACCATCATCATCAGTACACGTTAGCTGAGGGTGAGAAACACACCTCGGCTAATGTGCCGCAATACAAAGAGATAAGAGACTGAAAATTACACAATAAAAAGATTCCAAACAATATGATGTCAAATATTATATTATGGGTTTTGTGTAAGGTCGGGATTGGAGGGGAATCTAAAAAGAGGGGATGGACAAAGAAACTCATCACAAACGCCACTGACAATAAGAAATTTCAAAGCAAATAAACAAGAAATAAAACAACAAAACTGTTAGAGACGTCCTAATTGGTTTCGACTGTCTTAGTCCGAACAGACAAACTTTCACTCGGTTCCCACGTGCGGAGTGGCCTAGACGGTTCGAATTGGAAAGGCTAGTGGACTTAGTCAACAGACATTAACTCGTAGCTGATAAGGTGGACTGAACGTGTAGAAGTAGCACAAGCATACCGAGAGCAAGAGAAAGGAAAGTGGTCCATAGTAAGGTTTTTACTGAACCAAGGTAATTGTGCTTTCTACACCTTCACATTTATAGTTACCTAAAATATTAGTAAATGTATAAATTATAAGGGAATGCGTAGGTTTGTTCGCATATGAGTTACCATCTAGTGGCCCTATCTCCGGGCACAGATGGAGTGGGGTCGATGCTGTTGAGAGGTTAGGCACATCACAGTTGTTGAGCACGCTCGGCAGCTAAGGCTATTGGGAAAAGGCCATATTTCCCAAGAACTACAGTACAATCAGTCAAAACCATGGACTTATGTTAGCCATTAGTTTTGATTTTTAAACGGTGCACGCTATCTGTTCCCGCTTCAAACGAGCGGTGTGACAGACTGAGTTGGTGACCAATCATGAGTTTCTATTCTTTCTGGTCTTTCTGTGTCGGCATGCTAACAATTCTCCTGTCTGATGTCTTGTTTTCTTTCCTTCCGTGGTTGGAACTGTAGACTGGTGCTGGATTTGTGTTGCATTTGTGATTCTGTGCCGTGATTTCGTTATGAGTGTTCGTTCGAATTGCGTTAGTGATCATAGGATCGCAACAAAGGCATTGGCACGAACACATCTCAGGAGGCAGAGCGTTGACTTGTGGAGAACCCGGTAAAAACAGTGGTGGCACTGGGGCGAGTTCTGTGGGAATTGTGCGGGATATATTGGCCACGTTTTCACAGGACAACTCAGTTGTAATTTGCACAGATGAGTGGAATCTTGGCAGCAGTTTCTGTGAGGAGAGCTCCGGTCTGAACTGCGTAGTTTAGGTCTCGGCATAGCGACTGTGTTTATCGGTCCCGATAGCATACTGGCGCCGTTGAACCTCGAGTGAGTTTGGCAACGTTGTACCAGTCCTGTAGTAGGAACGAATAACAAAGGGTCAGAAATTGGAAAACAAATGAAAGGACGACACTGGCCTCATGATCGTGCCTTATCCGATTAGCTATCCAAACAATGATGTGGCCGGCCCGGAGGACGTTATTCGAGAAGACGACAAACACCAGCTTTTCTGTGAGTTTTTTTGTGTTGTTTCTCCAAGTTATCGACTAGTCACTACGATGTTTCACACGACCAAGCGCAGTACCAGCGAACGGTATCTTCCTAAGGAGCCGGACTGCAGACAAACGGAGCACATGACTGGGCCAACGGAGGTGATTTGGGTTTAATGGGCACTCCCGATTTAGGCACTAGAGGGTCTGCAGTTAAACACCAGGTTTAAGTGTTACTCACTGCTCAATTCGTAGGCACATCGGTGGTTAAACATGCCACTCAGTGTGCAACGGACAAGCACGTGACTCCTAACTTAACGTCCGTTGCACGAAAGTGTTGTAAACCCTACCTCTAATCAATAAGTTTGCTTTCAACCGTTTTCATAATCCGCTGGATTTTGAAAATCTACATGGGCATTAGAAATACGTGTGTTAATCTACTCGATAATGTGATCACTGCAGCATTGACGCCTGGGTTCACCTACCTAGCTTTTAAATATGGTATCAAGACCAGATTTTAGGTATTCACGTTGTTAAATCAGTAAGGCGTGTCCTTCCGTCTCTGGGTTATTCCGTTTATGGCAGTATATTTTGCTCAACACTTCCATGGATCGCTATCTTTATTCAAACAAACTCCACACCGACTTGATTGCGTCTGACGTCTCTAAGTGGTAGGCTTATTGGTTTCGAACATCCAATAGCTTCCTAAAACAAATTCAAGCGGACTGGAAAATGCATACATTATCGCCGGCACACAGAGGTGTAACGCAGGTAACGTCAGTTACGAATTCGGGAGATTCGGCAAAAACGAGATCCAAAGTAGACGGTAATTGGGTGCTCTGTGTCGAGCTGAGAGGTCCATGCACTGATGCGACAGCATTTGAAGCGTCTGTACCAAACGTTCCTGACGCTGAGTTGCACAAAAGACCAGCCCAACAGACCTTAGGGAGGTTGAAATCCCTTAAAACCAGACCTATTCACAGCCTGAGTGCGAATAAAATCGATAATCTTATTGGAAGTGCTTCCGGAACTTCAGTATGCCACTAAAATTGGAAACTGGGCAAAGCGCGCACAGATCCCGATACGACAGTGACGGTTTGATCTAGCGACTGAAATACGCAGGTCTTCAATACATTTAGTCTACAGAACACATAGTGTACAATTCCCTCGTTTTGGCAATTAGCGGAGCGATCAGTACTAAGCAGTGCGTAACTAGGCAAAAAGAACTCGTCGTCAGTGATGTTCGGAAGCAGCCACGTCCCCGTGAAAGTAGTTACATCTGGACGAGATTTGCCTGCAAGTATACCTAACTCGTGCAACGAGTTCCTTAAGCCACGCACCTTGCTAAGTACCGTCTGAAGGAACTTAGTGAAACCGGCCCTAGGTCGTGTGCTACTAGAATGGGTTCTGGTATGCCTGAAATTAACCGCCGGCTGAGCATCTGAAAACCCACAGCTCATCAGCTGCACGCTTACTCCTGAGGTCCGTGATGGTCTCCTTCATCATCATCATCATTATACACGTCAGCTAGAGGTGGGAAACACCTCAGCTACTGTGCCGCAATACATAAAAGAAAAAGAAAATACATACAACAGTTGCATACCAACTGAGCTACCAGTAACGGATAGGCATCGTTCCGGTAAGCTACCCGGGCCGGCTACTAGGCAAAAAGAAAAATTATTAGGTTTTACGCTAAGAAAGGAGATCGTAGGTGGAGAGTGAGGCTAAAAGGGATGGGGAGGGATAAAGAAACTCACAGATGGAACGCCACTGAGGTCGGCTCCTTCCCATGTCAGCCAGTGTATCCAGCCAGACGTGTTCACCGTATTTTGGACCCCCAACCAGGGAGCCGTGAAGCTCCAACCGAGGCCAGCTCTGAAGTGAGGGCCTTCATTCCTCTGGACCAAGTCATCGCTTGGCCACCCCTCCTCTCCTTCTATCCACATTCCCGGTGAGCAAACAACGCACGTTGTGGAAGTCGATGGGCTAGCATGTCTACGCACCCACAAACTGCAGCGATGATTCGGTAAAAAACGACTTCTACCGCCAACTGACCCAGCTCCTTCGCCACAGAAGTAGCACGGACACTGTTGTGCTGGCGGGGGATATGAACGCACAAGTTGGAAAGTTGTGCACTGATGAAATGCATCTGGGCGGTCAGCACGGTGTAGGCTCCCGTAATGATAACAGTGAGCGATTACTTCATTTGTGTGAAGATGTTCGCTAATTTCTTGCGAGCACTAATTTCCGACACAGCATCCGTCGGAAGGTGACTTGGCTCCCACCAGCCTTGGACGCAAATCGATCACACTGCAATCAGTTACCGCTGGAGAGGCTGCATCCGGAACTGTCGCTGGATTTGAAGCATATATGTGGACACCGATCATGCACTTGCATGTGCTGACATGCGGATGCGTTTTGGCGGACGCCCACGACGACGCTGTGAGCGCATTGACACCGGGCCAACTGGCGAAACCAGCTGTTCTGAATGCCTATCAAAGTACGCGGACATGCGAGTTGAGTAAGCGCTCACTGGGGACAATTGATGGTCACTGGTCACATGTTCACCAGACCTTACTAGTAACAGGCAAATCCGCATGTGGCACGTCTAATAGCCAACATGGTTATTGGGTCTCTTTGCAGTCTCTAGAACTTATCAATGCTCGCCGGCATATCCCGGCTGGAAGCGAACACAATGAAACTCGCAAAGAGTTCCGGGCAAGACTCCGTGCTAGCCTGAAGAGAGACTGCGAATCTTGGTGATCTCATCGTGCGTCAGGGATGGAAGTGGCCGCTGCTCTTGGCAACCATCGTAAGTCTTTCCGTCTGATACGGGAAACGGGCAGCAGGATACCTGGTGTTAGTGAAACTATACGGGACGAGAGTGGATAGTCTATCCACAATTTGTCAAAACGTTTGGAGCGTTGGGCTGAGCATTTTGAAAAGCAATTTAATCGGCTAGAATTGTTCGATTCTTCGCCGGCCAGTGATCGCCCTGCTCCGTGGGCTGTCCCTTTGGATCCACGCTCTTGCTCAGAAGTCGAACGAGAGATCGGACTGTTGAAGTTGAACAAAGCCGCGGGACCAGATTATCTTCCTCCAGCCCTCTTCAAACTCGGAGGCTCTGCTCTTGTTGATGCTTTACATGAATTACTAGTGAAACTGTGGGAGCAGGAGACTGTCCCAACCGACTGGAGCCGCCCTGTTATTGTTCCAATCTTCAAAGGAAGCTCGCGTTCGG